AAAACAAAACCCCCTACAGCCCATCACAATAATATAATAGAGCCTCTGAAGATGACATACTGGGTGGTTTACGTCCCTCTCCACCCTCCCCCACCTACCCCACCCCTACACACACTCACACCCATCGCCCCAAATGTACGCCGACACACCCTCCTCCTCCCCATCCCCTCCCACACAAACCCTCCCCTCACACTCCCCACCCCTCCCACTCCCCGCCTCTATTTTTTATACCTCGTACTTTGGCTCACGCATTCGTTCATCAAAAGCTTCGTCTGTCTTAACAGAGACACACTGTCGGCTTCTGATAGCGTTCCATCTCATCCTTGGACAGGAAAAAGATCCGATTTTTCCAGTTAATTAACCGGAGGCTGGTATCTAAAGATGGTTGAGCGATATCATTGAAAAATAATATGACAAAAATACCACAGAACGCTCAATGATGATTACTCAGCTACCTCAACTTCATTACGGGAAAATCCGATTATGTTAAGAATCAAACAGAGAACAGATTTGTAGCAGCTTGAAGCCTGCGGGTATTTTCGTGTCTCGGGCTTTCCCGCCAAAGCTTCTTTCTCAGGACTCTGAGCAGTCTGTGGGAGCTGGGGATGAGAAATTGAGGCTGTTAGATAGGAGCCGTCTGCTGGTGGGAGAAGCCTTTCTGGCAGGTGTGAAGGGGGAAAAATAAGCGAAAAGAAAGGGTGGGGGAAAAGGGAAAGCGTAGAAGGAAAATGTGTAGAAATAAAGCTGTAAAAAATGTATTTCCAAGGACGCACAAATAAGAAAGTTGTTAAGCAAAGAGCCAAAGAAAACCCAATCTATGGAGGGTATAAGGCAAAAACAGCATATCTGCATTTTTTTCAAGTATGCATTCTGCTTGTTATTGCCTTCTTAAAGGAAATTGTTACGCACGCTTTAAAAAAAAAACACATTTCTGTATGTGTCTTGAAAACATAACATTTCCTGTATGTGTCTTGAAAAAAACTAGAAAAGAAATTTTTAAATTACCACACCTGCAGAAAATGAGCTTTTCCCAAGGTCTAAAAAGTTGTATTTTCCCCAAAGCAGAATGTATCAGTCTCGCGACATAGGTGCAATATACAAAGATCAATGAGCATGATTTTCTTTCTTCTTTTCTTTTTTTTTTTTTTTTTGGGGGGGGGGGGACTTACCTGCAATCCTAGCTATATGTACCCTAAGATGTAGACAGAAGCGCATTCACAGACAAACATTCAGAAAGTCTGACAGGTAGTTGTCAATAAAGACAGACACATTGGCAGGGGAGCATAGACGCACACACACGCAACCAAACATAGAGTATGACGGCAAGGGCAGTGCTACTGACTGAAGTTGTCTTTAGGCTGTGACCAAAGGGGGGGACATTAACATGTTCTTATGCACAGTAGAATTATAAATAGGCTGTCATGCTCACACTTGGCGGGAACAACTTAGGGGGAACTGCTGCTCTTTCTTTCCTCATCCGTACTCTCGTCATTATTCCTGTACTTCTTTTGCATGTTTGTCGCTCTCTTGTTAACTACTATTTCCTGGGTGCCTTGATAGTCGAAGCAGACGTAGTGTTGTTGGGGCTAGAGAGGTGAGCAGAGTAAGCCTGATTTCCAGTTTGGACATCTATGTTGACATCCACCCCTTAGCGCTAATATGATCTTATGCAGTTGGGAGCGCCGTAAAAACTCTACTTCTATAACAAGATATATAATATGTATATTTACATGACTTTTATACTCGATAACACTAAAATGAAACAAGTAGATTCGCAATGAATGTAATATTCTGTATATTATAGTATGTCAACAAATTAACACACACGCACGCACACACACACACGCACACACACACACACACACACACACACACACACACACACACACACACTAACACACAAACACATACACACACACACACACACACACACTAACACATACGCGTGCACACCCACCCACCTATTTATCTATCTATCTATCTATCGATCGGTCTATCTATCTATCTATCTATCTATCTATCTATCTATCTATCTATCTATCTATCTATCTATCTATCTATCTATCTATCTATCTATCTATCTATCTATCTATCTATCTACGATATCTATCTGTCTATCTATTCCTCTTACTCAATCTTCAGAAGCAATTACGGAGAAGCTTTTTTTTAAAAATCGACCACCATGGTCAAAATACTTAGACAATCTCTAAAGATTGTCATTTTCTTTAGCACAACACAAAACAGATTTCAAAAGACGCACGAGTAAAGACTGTAAGCGACGTAAAAACTAAGAGCTGGTCCCGAGGGCCTGGACCACGCTTCTGGAGCGTCCCGTGAGTATCCCTGACGTCACTGGACGGCCTAGCGTGACGTGTACCAGGGACCCTCTGCACGTCCAACACTATGTGAGTGCGCCAGGCGAGTGACGCTTCCAGTCACTTACAAATGCCAACTCGTGGACAATTTCCTTAAAATTCCACGGATGTTCCTATGACCTCTC